GGTGAGGAAGGGAAACCTTGGTTTTTGTTTTAAGAACTTTCCTCCCTCCTGTTCACATTCCTGTTCCCCCTCCCCAGTCCAGGGAGTTGTCCGTCCACAACTGGAAAATAAGATTTTTCATTAACTTAGTGAAGAAAATATGACAGTATGATGCCTGGAAAGGCAAATAATGTCCTATGTAAGCTAAACTTTTGAAAGCAATGTTTTTAGTAGATGTCATTATTAATATAACACCAAAATGTGTTTTGGTTTCCATAGTGCAGTTATCTTTATCAGAAAGCCAACTTTTATACCGCTTATCTCCTATGCTTTTGTTTGCCTTTTCCTCACCCAGGCCCTCTGAAACCAAATAAAAAGCCCAGAGAGAGTCTGGCTGAGATTTCTCCTGCAGGAAGGCAGCAGTTAAGGACTCTGGAAGGGACAGTATCTTTTGTTCTAGTTCCTCATGGATTGGCTTCAGCTGTTCTTCATCCATCCTCTGTCACTTTATCAGGGGGCTGCGTTTCCTTTTGCACTTCTGTTTAATTATCTCTGCAGGAAGGATTCATTTTCCACTTGTGCCAGGTAGGCTGGATGGCCAATTTTGCTCTTACATCTAGAAATACTACAGGAGGGCAAAAAGCACAGAGTGGATTACAGATGTGAAGGCCACATATTAACTGCACTTATTTTAAACTTAGTATCACTGCTGCTGATTATGGATTGCTTGCTAATGATTATGTATGATAGAATAAGACTGAACTGGAAATGGACATCATGTCTGCATGGACTCAAAGTTTGATAGGTTCACATTAAATGGCAAATGGGGGATTGCTTGAGGTCAGGAGTTTGAGACCAGCTGGGCAACATAGCAAGACTCCATCTCTACAAAAAATTAAAAAATTTGCTGGGTGTGGTGGTGCATGCCTGTAATCTCAGGTACTTGGGAAGCTGAGGCAGGAAGATCACTTGAGGCCAGGAGTTTGAGGCTGTAGTGAGCTATGATTGGGCCACTGCGCTGTAGCCTGGGTGACAGAGCAAGACCCGGCCTCTAAAAAAAACAAAAAAAAGGCAAAGAAAAAAAAAAAAGGCAAACTGATGAAAATAAACTCCAGGGAGAGATGATTGTTATAATGGTATAGGAATTCCCCAAGTGGGTATGTCTATGCCAACTATATATCCCATATATTCTCGAATAGTCCTGATTTCATGGAATTGTATCATTTTCAATAAAAAAATTAAGTTTTATATAAATTTACATCAATATGTTATATTTATAACTAAATGTGATTTTTAAAATCCCTTTGTATGATTTCTCAGAGAAATAAGTCAAATGAA